TTCTGAGTGCTGGGATTAAAGGCATGCACCACCACCACCTGGCTAAGAAAATAGTTTTATGGTTGAGGGTCATGGCAATATGAGGATCTGTATTAAAGCATTAGGAAGGCTGAGAACCACTGAATTCGAATGAACATAAGAGAACATAGAGATTGCTAATAATGTAGAAAACTGCTCAGCCCATGTTATAGCTTTTGTGTCTGCATCCCCTCTTTTCTATTAACTGCAGTAAGAACATGGAATAAACAACTCCCCAGATATGCCTTTGAATGGTGGGAATCCTGGTGTCTCTAGGACTACAAGTCTGTAATAGATGAGGGACATTCATGGAGGATCTTGTAATAGTTGCAGATATTTCTCACCTGTATTTCTTTTTCTGTTTGCTTTATAATGTTTTGTTTGGGTTTTTGAGACAGAATGTTGCTATGTAGCTCAAGCTGGCCTTGAACTTGCAATTCTGCTGCCTTAGCCATTTAAAGGCATAAATTATCAGTGTAGCCACCATACTTTGTAACAAAACCTTATTTGGAAAGTTATTTTTTTACTTGAAAGTAAAATTTTTATATAATATATTATGATTAGTTTCCTCTTCCCTGGCTCCTCCAGGATCCCACCCACCCAAATCCACACCCTTTCCTTTACTCTCTCATTAGAATATAACCATAAAAATAATGATGATGATGATGATAAAGAAATAAGATTTTAAAAGCTCCTATTTTTGTTTGTTGATTTTGTCCCAATCTGGTTTGTTTGTTTTACCAGTTTTGGAAAGATTTTATGTGTGCAGCTTTTACTATATAGCTTGGGTAAGTAAATGTAAAACCGTGAAATTTAAGTAAATTATGAAAAATGGCTAAAGACCTCGGGAGGCAGAGGCAGACAGATCTCTCTGAGTTTGAGACCAATCTAGTCTACAGAGCTAGTTCCAGGACAAGTTCCAAAACAATAAAGAGAAATCCTGTCTTGGAAAAAAGAAAAAAAAAAATGGGTAAAGACCATTTAAAAGTGAATCCCCTTCAACTCCTGTCCCCAGAACATATGAATCCCAGGACACTTGTTTTGAAGAAAATATGAAAGTTGGAGAGAGAAGGTCACCAGTTTGAACAGAAGTTACCCCATATTGGTAGTTTAAACAGTAGACTTTTAAAAAGAAGGTCTTGACTTTATTGGCACAGTTTGGACTTTGTCTTCCTTCCAGCAGTTTCTGTTGTTCAGATGGTTCATTTATGTTCAGTTTAACAGCAACCCATACACATGTCTATTAAACAGCCTGCTCTGTGGTTGACCTTAACCCATGTGAGTTCCCAGCTTTTGCCTTAACTTTGATGTATAATGCACAGGCGCCCCAAATAGTCTAGACTTTTCAGTAAATTATCTTCAGTCTAGTAGATGACTTCATACCAAACTCTGCCTAATGGATAAATGTTTTCCTCTGTACTCTTCCCCCAAATTAAAATGGTTCAAGTGAAAACTCAATACTTTTTCAGTTCTATAGAAAATGAGTTATTTTATTAGTCTACTAGCCAGTCTTTTAGAGGAATTAAAAACATGTTGTGTGGTATTAGAACTGGGGGTGCTTCTTTCTCCTTCTCTCCTTGTCTGTGTTTCTTGACAAGATAATAAATAATCTAAAATGATAGATTAGATAATAGATGATATGCAGATTGATAGACGATAGATTTCCTTACATAAGTTTATAGAAAGAACCCTCATTAATGAATGAAAAGCCACATCCTTTCTCCCTTCTTTTGTGATAATAAGGCACAAGCTGTGTTGTCTCAGGCTGCGCTTTGGTGTGAAGAGCAGCCAGGGTGTGGGCTGTTCCACACTCTGGCCTTTTGCAGTCCAGCTTTCCCTGGCTTTGAACCTTTATAGGATTCAGGAAGAAGTTATAGGCATGCGTTTCAGAAAACTACAGGTTTCCCCTTTCCACAAGGTTTGGTATGGAATTGTCACAAGGATTTGTGTACAGGCTTGAGTTTTCTCCCTCAGCTTCCTCCTGCATCCCCACTGGAGTCCTCCGCATACACAAAGTCAACTGAATGAAGGGAGGTTTCTTTACACTGGGCTTCACTTCTGCACAGATGAGGTGTGGGTTGTCCCCAAAGGTTCCTGTGCTGGAAGATCAGTCCCCAGAGTGCTGATATGATGAGATGGTAGAGCATAAAGAAGTGAGACAGGGCAAGGTCAACAGGTCACTGACATTCACTCCTAGGAAGGGATCAGTTCTGGTTCTGCATAAACAGTTCTTAAATGATGAGTTATAAATAGAATGATCTGGCCTCTCTCCTCCCTTGTTTCTTGTCTCACTGTGTTTTCGGTCCCCCCCCCCACCCATACACACACACATTCCCTCATCATGATGCCATACTGTGACAATGCCAAGAGTCTCCTCACCAGAGGCTAAATAGATCTTGGCCTTTTAGCCTCTAAGATTATAATGGAAACTTTTCATCTTTATAAGGTACCCAGCCTCTAGTATCTTGCTTATAACAAAACGTGTGTGTGTGTGTGTGTGTGTGTGTGTGTGTGATGAAACACCATGACCAAAATTTACTCAGGGAGGAAGGGGTTTGTTTTGGCCCATGGTTACAAAGGGATAGAGTCTAATGGCAGGAAGAGTATGACAGCAGGCAGGCATGGTGGCAGGAATGGGAAGCTAGCTGATCACATTTTATCAAGACAGCGCCTCCTGCCCCAGGGACATGCTTCTTCTGGGAAGGGTCTACCTCTTGAAAGTCTGGCCTCTCCCTCAAGCAGTGCCACTAATGGAGGACCAAGTATTCAGATATCTGTGCCTGTGGGGACATTTCTCATTCAAACCACTGTGTCATGGTTTTTTTTTTTTTTTTTTTTTTTTTTTTTTTATGACAAGTCAAGTCAGACATTTGTGGAAACCAGGTAACAACTATTTATTAGGGAATATTACCTTCCCTTGGGAATTACTACACACAGTGTCACATACTAATTAAGAATATGGGCTCAGCCACTCACATACCACCTCTCTGTACAGATGCAGCTGGGCTCTTCTGGATGCTTCTGTGTATGCTAAATGCCCTTCCCTTTAGTTTAAGTTTGTTTGACCCTACCCCTTCCTTCCCAAAATGATTTCCTTGATTATCAAAGTTGACAAGTGTCTCCATATTTCACAGGTATTTGGATAGCTATGATCAAGAAAATAGGTATTAGTAAATGTTGACAAGAATGTAGAGAAACTGGAACTCTCTTAGAGTGTTGGTGGAAATGTAAAGTAGCAAGTCATTTGGAAACGCCAGTGTGATCTGGCGTTCTTGAAAAGATTAGCACAGAGTTGCCAGTAAGTCCACACAAGAGAAATGAAATTACATGTCCACACGAAAATTTATCCATGTGAAACTACCAGCATTATCATGATACCTGAGGCACAGAGTACCTGCCAACTGAGAAACTTTATTTTCTTTCCAAAGTTTCCTGCCTTGAGTATTCTGGGTACCTGAGTAGACACATGAGCTGTAGTGTATCAATACTGTGCACTTACTGGCAACTTTGTGTTAATCTTTTGAAGAATGCCTGAAAACATGACAAACTCAGGAAGCCAGCTGCAGAAGGCCATATAGTCTATGATCTATTTATATGAAATGTCCTGTCAGAGACTCCATATAGAAGGCAGATTGGTGGATACAAGGGGAAGAATCAAGCATACCTACTGACAGATTTAGGGTTCCCTGTTGGGGTGATATAGATATTCAGAACTCGACTATTGGGTAATGGTTGTATGAGTCTGTGAATATACAGAAAGTTACTGGGTTGTGGACTCTTTAAATGGAGAATTACGTGATATGTGAATCACATGTCAATAAAGTTGCTGTCAGAGCTACAGACTAAGTCAGAGTATGGATCAGGTTGCCTGTGCCTGATCATTGACCACTCTGGTGAAGGATGACAATGTTAATGAGCAAGTTCTTGAGGGGCAGATGGGGCTCAGACCTGCTGAGGCCCCTCAGAATGGCAGTGGAGGCCATCACTCAGAATTGTCCCCATGAGTGAAGAGAAAGCAAGGGTGGTTTCTATGAATATATAGCACCCAACACTTCTAGCCTGCCCACATGAAGACCCAACAAGTTGGTATAACCAGAAAAAGCCCAGACAGGAAGGGATAGAGGCAGAGACAGACAGAAAAGCAGGCAGGCAGGTGGTCCAGACAGACAGCAGAGCACACAGGCACTATGGACCCCACAGGTAAGGCCTGGATGACTGAATGGCCATGGCAAGGCTGTGGCAGTACCTATTCACAGGAGTACCTAAAACTGCATTTCAGTGTCCTCAACTTTAAAGGGGAGAAATAGTCACAAGAGATGTGGTGAGCTGACCTCTCTGGTGTATCTGTGAATTGAGGATGAATGCTCTCAATGCATCTGTGTTGTGTGAATGTCTGTCTTGTCCTTGATTATTTCTCTTCTGAATAGATGCCTAACAGAACAGTGGTCGATGGGTGAGAGTGATTGCCACCATTATGGTTTTATTAGCTTGGGCTCCCCGGTAAATGGCCCTGGCACCTTGTGTAGCACACTCAATCACGTTGAAATTGCCCATCAAAGCTAGTTCCACTCTTGGTGTGACTCTGTTCTCTTTCTCCATGTTGCTGTCAGTCCTTCTGGAAGCCGTCAGCAGAGTACAGACACAGGTTTCTTCACAGCGCTCATGGCTATTTTCCTTGTGTTCCTCTTGGTTTTCCAAGGCAGTGTCTGAGAATCAAAGCCCCTAGAGAGCCTGTCATCCATGAAGCCTCTGCATTCTAGTGACAGAGCCAATGGCTGTGGTGCCAGGCAATTCTGTGTCAAAAGCATTCATAATCATCTTGTCCCATTACTCAGAGGTGATTGAAACAGCCCCATTAGTGAACAGCCAGGGAAAAGTAGGGTTAAAGGAATTCCAGACTCTTACATTGAGTTCAAGCTATCATGAGAAAAACTTAGTTTCAGGATTTTCTCACTTATGAAAATATCTCTGGACTATTTCAGGCTGTGACTCTGCAATTAACCTGACATTTCCCAAATCGAAACTCGCCGTAAATGATGTATTCATGACTCTCCAGGAGATTGCTGGAGCTAGAACTCTCATGAGACAGTTTAAATCTGTCTATGTTCCTGGAAACCACACCCATCAGGTGAGTGTATGTGTCTTCACTACCTGTCGCCTGCTGTGTTTTAGGACTCGGAGGCCATGCCACAAGGAAGTTTCGCTTCAGCCCCATTAGACTACAGATTTCATTCTAGATGGACTCCCAGGTTCCCTGTAATGGACCATTTGGGGGAGCTCCACTAAGTCTGAAAGCCTCTCAGTTCATCTGTGCCCCAGATTTAACGTAACTGGTGAAAACTGGAATTGAAATCACCCCCGTTTATAGCCTTGGGTCTGTCTCAGCGGTAGCCTATAGCCCAAGGCAAGGCCTTTCCTTTGGATCCAGCTCTTGTTGGTTCCAAATGAGGGATTGGTCTTACACTGTTCCAATTTTCTATAGCTAGCAGAGCATCAACATTATACAGGATCAGAATAAAGCAAGTATTTAACTGACTATGGAAAGGAAAAGGGAAGTTTGTGACAAAGGAAGAAATTGTTAGAGAAATTCCCCTGCAGCTTTCTAAGGACAGTGGGGGAAGCAACAAAGAATACTTTGACTGACCACTGAGTAGAAAGATGACATGACAATCCAGTGTCAAGGAGGGGAGCTCTGTGAAACCCTAAATGGGGACCATGCAGGAATTCCCAAGGGAAGTACAGGGAGTCAAGACACCTAGTGCTCTGGAGCCTGGGAGGTCCTCCTGGTCAATCTAGAGTCAGAACTAAGGATCCTGGTAGCAAATATGAGCTTCCGTAGAAGAACAAGTGTTTTTGATGGGAAAGATCATTGGGTATAGCTGTGGGAATCTTCTCCTCCACTTCCCATGATGTCTCTGGTAAAACTACTTATCTATTGAGGCTTCTTGGTGAGTTTAATGTGCTATAGTAGGTGTTTTAAGGAAAGTGGCTCAAGAGAAAGACTCAGTTTGACTAGGTTCAAGCAGAGGGCTTTGGGGGGGGAGAGGAAAGGATCATAAAACGGGGAAAGGGGAGAGTGGAGACCAGCCTCCTGAGACAGGAGCAGCACAAGAGGAAAGAGGGGGCAGTGAGACAGAGAGAGTCGAACAGAGAGAGAGATGGGAAGTGGACAGGCCTTTTTAAAGGGGAATGTAGTGAATATGCACAGGTGGTGCTCTTAGTGGCTGCAGCTGAGGGTGTACCCTGTCAGAACCCCAAGGGCAGGCCAGTACAGATGCCTGAATACTGACAGTAGGGAGCTGTGAGAGTGAGGAACTCATCTTGGGGTGATGACTGTTTAAGTGCTTATAGAGATAAGCTAATGTTCCCCATGACAACCCAACAGAACCTCAATTTTTTGTCCTGTGTGTTCCTCCAGTAGCTGACACTTGATGACCACTCCTGGCCTTGGTCTCCTCCTTGCTTTCACAGTGAGGAGCACTGTCCTAGTTCCGAAGGAGAGTAATGTACCACATTTATACAGTAGCCAAGGACAGGTGGCAGTCTTTGCAGCCAACACTATGTACCTTGGTTCTGAGAGAGGTTCTAGAAGTATTGATTAAAGGTACTGAAAGCCATTCAAAATCATCCACCAAGATATCAAGACCATAGAGTTTGGCATTCATAGAGTTTCTTCCCTCTTCCCCCCCCCTTTTTTTTTTTTAAATCTGAGAACACTACCACCACAGAATATAGATCATGTCACTCAGATCACCAAACGATGTGTAATTTTATCACTTTAAAAAAAAATCAACAATTCTAAATACTGTGTTGTGGACTAGTTCCAAAAGACATGCTGAAACTGATGATATATGATGAAATTTAAACTAGAGAATGCCAGAAGGGAAATGGCTACAATAGTTGGCAGAGAAAATAAACCACAAAATTAATGAGGTCTTTTCCATTTTATGACCATCACGGGGCACTGATTTGGCCAACTTCACATAAACATATATTAGCTATGAATCATGGGTGTGATAAGGACAGTGATGAACTAACCACCCAGATTCTGTCTCCCCACTGCCAGTGCTGTCATTTCTGCAGGCCTCAGGACTCTGTCCTACAGGCATGACTTTCTGGAAATGAAGTTTTCCATGCTGCATATATTTCCCCTCATAGTAAGCTGGTGACATCAACACACGCAGCAGAACTCCCCAGTATTGTCGAGCGACAAATGGGGATGTTCGGGGTAATGAGCTCACACTGTGAAGGCTAAATTAGAAGTAATGTAAGCATAGTGAAATGCTCCACAGCAAGGAAAGAGAAATAAATGAAACAGAGGCAGGTTTGCTGCACACAGCTGCTTTTGAATCCTTGCCTCTGCCTCTGCCTCTGCCTCTGCCTCTGCCTCTGCCTCTGCCTCTGCCTCTGCCTCTGCCTCTGCTTCTTGGGGAGTTCCAGCCTTGGGAGAGAAAAAAACATCATGACTCTCTCTGCAAAAGATTATTCAAATTTTGTAAAAGATATAACAACATATAAAATAAAAAGTATATGGAAGTGTATGTTTAGGAAATCTTTAAAAGTTTAGGGAGAAATGTAATAAATAGACTTGTGAGCGCTAGAGACGGAAGGTCAAGGAGCAATGCTGTGCCTCCTACTGTGTGACACTGGGCAAGTCACTTCACCTCTCTCAGACCAGACCCTCTGTTTACCTGGAGCAAACCCCTTAGACAGGGTTACAGATCTTTGTGGCCAGTTTTTGGCTTTCCAAATTGTTAATTTAAAGAATTTTAAAATTATACCTATTGATTCCCATGAGAGCAAGGGATTCTGATGTGTTTTGTCCACTGTCATATCTTCAGGGACTAGAGGCAGCATAGGCGTAAGGGGAGGTGCTCTTTAAACATTTGTGGGGTTCATCTTGAGTGTAACAATGTGTGGTCTCTATTCAGGGAACATTTGTGGGTGCATCTTCAGTGTAATGTATAGTCTTTATTCAGGTCAGAGGCTGAATCTGAGTACAAGGGCAAGGAAGAGAAGTGAGAAACTACAGATATAGACTAGAGCTTGAGGTGAACCATGCTGGCTCTGAAGATAGGTAGGATTTGGCAAGGTTTCTGGTTTGGCCTTCAATGTCCCTAAATGCACTTGTGCTGTAGACTTGGTCCATCCCTGATGGTGTCACTGAGAGGTGAAGACTTTAGGAGGTGAAGCCTCATTGAAGGAAACAGGTTATTGGGAGTGTGGCCTTGAAAGATACATGAAAACCATAGGATTCCACCCCACCCCACTTTCTGGCTACCAAAATGTAAGTATCTCTGCCACCTCACACATCTGCCATAATGAGCCACCTCATCACAAGCCAGAGAACAGCCCCAATCTTCCCTCAGGTTGCCTTCTCGGGTGTTTTTCACAGCAGCAGAAAGCTACGTACCACACTAGGCAGATTTCTGATTGTCACTTCTTCCAATTTGGTCTTTGGTCCCATAGTGTCAGGGAAAACATAGGCTTTCGACCAGAAATATGTTATCACCACACAGAATCTAATTGAGATGTCCCAACACACCCAGGACAGGACGACCCCTGGTTTTGCCCTAGATTCCTATCCCCATGTGCCCCTGTGCTCTGGCCCCTGCCCTGAGTCTTGAGGTCCTACAGTACCAGGCTCCTTCTTCGTGCCTTCTCTCTGGCTTAGATGCACCCATGCTCATGCTGAGCCACTCATTTCCCCACTGGCACTGGAGGCACCTTTTACTTCATCTTTATCTGCTTCCCTTAGGTCAGTTGTGGCTCATGTGCATAGGGCAGGTAGCACTCCCTCATTTGAAGGTGAGCGTGACTTATGAAAGAAATGATCAGGTCTCTGGAAGAGGCAGAGCAGGATCCGGACTGCACACCCACAAGCGATCCAGTCTGGACAGTGTGGAAATGGGGACAAGGACTGGAAGGACTTAGCATGTGACTGGAAGCAGCTCTTCTGCTCCCTGTGCACCTGTGAGTATTGTGTGCACTTGCCCCTTCTGGGTTGGTAGGCAGACACCTGGGGAGAGGTCAGTACCTGGGTTCATGGCCCAGCCATGCCCCTTCCTGTGTGAGGTCGGGCAAGTCACTTTACCTCTCTGTGGATAATTCCTTCCCTGAAGAGGGACACTCTCTCCCAAAGATGTGCTAAGAATTTGGAGAATTAATGCCAGTCCAACTTTTGTGATGGCCTCAGACATATAAACTTGACTGTGTAAGTACTTGTAGTAACATCATGAAAAATAAAGAGCCACCCAGAAAAGGCACCATTTTTAGATCAAAACATGACTTTGAGCTGCAATTTCTTTTTTTTTCCTCCTGTTGAAAAAGACAAACAAACAAAAAAACATACACTAAGGCTTTTTTCATGAGACTCTAAAATAACATGGACCTATGACGCTATCGTCTGCCACCTAAAGGACACACTGGCTCTTTGGTCACAGACCAGTAACAATAGCCTACCCAGGACAGAACGATGTCCCTCCATTAGGACATCACTGCTGACATTTGCTTGTGTGATAAGGTTGGGTTTAGGGATTGTCCCTGTAGACCATAGTTCTAAGCGCCTCCCACCCCACCCCAGGTGCCTGAACCTGGGTCTTCATACCCCTGCTCCATTCCCATCGTATGCTTCCCAGATTCCTTCCCCTGTGATATAGAATTTGATGTGCCATATGCCTCATCAGGGGGATATTAGCAATGTCTCAGGGGCACAGAGCTCATAGGCTTTTCCAGTCAAATGTCATCTGGCTCCAGAATGATGACAGCTGTTGGCACGTAAGTCTTCAAGACAGAGTCTGGAGCCAATGAAGCACCATGTGGGCTTCTTCTGTGCCCTTGGCAGCTGAACAAGAAAGTCTAAGCCTCAGGAGGAAAGTCAGGCTCTCTGAGCATCCACTGGGCCCGTCTCTTTAGTCAACACTTCCCAACTTTGGCCAGCAGCTGTCCATATCCTAAGCCAACCTCTGTTCTCCCTCTTGTTTGTATTAATATCCACCCAACCCCAAGCCTGTTCAACTACATTTTGTGGGGAAAAACTGGCACCAAACAGAACTAAATTAAGGACCGGGAAGCCTGACATTGTTCTGAAGACACTTGTAACTGGAGTCTGAATTCAAGGAAATTTTC